ACACACACACACACACACACACACACACACACACACACACACACACACACACACACACACACACACACACACACACACACACACACTCTCTCTCTCACAAATATTGCTCAAACTGTCCAGCATTCATTAGTATTAATTTATCTTACTCACTCTGAGTGTTTTAGGGGAACACTCAGCCTGATTGGTTATTCACTAATTAGTAATATCACTAATAGATCACTGTTTTTATCCGCTTTTAGCAATTATTAGATTGGACTAAAAAGACTAAATGCTTGCAGCCCATTTATTACAAGCACAGTTATTAAAGGTAGGATTATCCGTCATTGAGTTAAAATGGAAATGTGTACTTCTCTATTCTCCAGTTTTTGGATGGCCACTAATGCTCACAAGTATTGATTGAGCTGTCCAAGGTCGGCACACTAATGTATTAATTTTCCCTGCCGTTGTCCTCAATATATCTCTCATGAATCTTTTCATAAGTATTCCCATTCTTCTTCTAAAATAAAGCATCAGGTCTTCATTAATCATTATTATTAGTTTCAATTTCAGAAGAGTTCAGTGTTCAGGTGACCTGTAGAACTTTTTCTTTCCAAGTTCTTAGTCCCTCTGGATTATACAATAATAAAATATGAAATGGGGAGAGAATGGTGGAGACACGCAGCAAACGGCAGGGTCAGAACCAAACCTGCATCCGCTGCCGGAAGGGCAAGCCTTAGTTTGCTTTCATGCTTGCACAGAAAGAGCATTGCGAGCTCACCTAGTAGACTGGGCATCCCAGCAGCACACTTTCTGTGCAAATGTCTTCCAGAAAATAAGAGAAAAAACACATTTGTTTATTCCTTTGTCCTTTTCAGGAAAATCAAATCGCCCGCACTGGAAATATATTTATGACCACTATATCAAATGTGCCATAAATGTGTCTTGGGTATGTTCACCTGTACTCAGAGCATGTCCACGTGGGATTGGATCACCCAAGATGCATGTTGATACCATGTATGAACAGGGCCCAAGACATGTGAAGTTAATATGAATAATGAGACGCATTTATTCATTCAGATTCATTTACTTGTTCTAAATTACCCTTTGATAAGTGATGTACGATGCTGGCCTTGGTTAATTAATATGCCACTCTTCCTAAGAGAGAGAGAAATATAGTGAGAGAGAGAATGAGAGAGAGGCTGCTTCTACATGCAGTTATTAAATAAGACATACAATTAAGCACCAAAGACTTTCCAATTAATGTGTGAGTGGCTATTGTTATGACAAAGAGGTGAGGGTAATTAATATTACCTGTCATCCTGTCAGTGAGTAAGCTCACATGACAGCATGTGCAGCTACACCAGACTAATTGAATTCCAGGCTGCCCAACCCCAAACATATGTTTATTGTATCAGCAGTCAGTCATTCTCACCTTCTCCAACCTTTTCACTTCAGCTGTTGGCTCTGATGTTTTTTCATCCTCTTTTTTTAGTCTTACATCTTTCTCATGTTTTCTCTGTTCATTATTCATCTCAGTTTGTCTTCTCCCTCTCTCTTCATCCCTTTTTCCTCTGACAGGTGGTGCAGGTCATGTGGCAGCAGGGTGAGAGGTCAAAGGCTAAAGGCCATGTAAAGAGTGCATTAGTGGCTACCACTAACATTGAGCCTTATTGACCTGTTTGTCTGCATATGCTCCCACAAACACATGTGCTCAGCAGGCGCTGCCAATCCATGTGCACATATGAACATGCAGACAGATATACAGATTCATTTTCTAGACAAACATTCCTTGATATTGTTTACATCAAAGCTAATTTATGTCTTTATTCTTAAGGCCTTTTCAGTGTTTTACATACATTTAAACTAGCTTTAATTTAGAAAGAAAATAAATCAAAATCTTTCTCAAGTCAGGGTTAATGTCTAGTTTCCTCTTTTCAAATGTAGCACACATTCTTTTTAAAACTGTGCTGTAGACTAAAATAGATGCATGTATATAGTCATATTTTTGCAATCATAATGCATATTGCTTTGGGGTGAATAGCAATTATGGACATCTAAACTCAACTTTAACTTAAGGGTGTGTTGATATATTCTTGTAACTGTAGATTGTTGTCTTCATGTACTTAATATCTTCCTATTAGAAGCACCTGGGCTCATGAAAGGCTCAGAAATCATGATTGAGATCGAGAGTGAAACCATAACTAATGGATTTTGTTCCACAAATAAGAAAACCTCATTCTGAATCACGTTTGAAACTTGATATTGATAATAAAAATAGACATTGAACACTGTTCTGCTGTTCACTCCATATGTGTACATACACATGTCATTGAGAAGGCACGTCATATTTGTGGACCTTGAAGTTCTGTTTTTTTTAATCTTTCAATAATCACAATTTTCCACGAGCCTATGATTGTATGTCACCGGCATGAGAGAAGGGGAAAGTTGAGCAGCTCTGGTTAATTCTTACACGGTAACAGTAGAAGGACAGAGGAGGCCAAAAGGTATAGAAACGCAATTACAGCCAAAAAGTTTGTAAGATGATATTAGAGGAGGATGTTGGTGGATATATAATGTAATGTATATAATGGACACAGGAGAAATCAACATCTTAGTAACAACTGGTGTGAGTTTATCTTGGAGCATGGATATTAAACCCAGAAGAACATTTTTACAGAATGATAAAAGCATCAGAGGAGATGTAACTTGGTCTCTATTGACAAAATAAATCACTGCTTACAACATGTTATGAAATAACCCCCTCCGAAAAATACAAGACATTGCATAATGTCCAAAAAATAATATGAGCTTAACAAATATATGTGTCTGCTCTGTGAACTCACACATGGTGTATGTGGCAGATATTGGATGAATACAAAGTCGATATGGATATTAATGAGTAGAGCATTTTCAATACAGAAACCTTGACCTATATATATATATATATATATATATATATATGTATGTCCTTGAGGCTTGACAAATTATTATGAATTACTAAAAATACAAAGAAAACACAAATTGAGATTAAGAATAATATAAAATACATTTTCTCTAACATAAAATGTTAACTTGAATCTTTTCTGCATTCATTATTCTGTAAAATTAACTACTGGGAAATTCACCATCAAAAAGCCGAAAAACAGAAGTGCCAAAACCGTTTTGTCTGTAAAAGGCTCATATCAGCCGATATAAATCTGCAAAACGATAAATCAGTCTGGCTCTAGTATCCATGTGATGTCATATACATAAGAATGTGTGACACTGTCATTTATTGAATATTAGATTATTCAACTCTCTGTCACTGTTGGACAGTGACATGTCATGAAACCTCGTCCCTGTGGAGCTCACCTCTCTGTGTCGAGCCCCATGTCATTGTATAAAGTAATTATTACAGCTCCCCTGACTCACATTTACACTCCTCTTTCTCACACCCACCCGCTCTGTCTCTCGCTTGCCATATCCATTGACAGTGTTATTGATTACTGCTTGACAACATTGTCTTCTTGCCTTCAAATAATAATTGCTATTTGTACATCATCCATCCATCACTTTAGGAGCTCCTTCATTCATCACTTCCTTTATGCTTGCATTCCCGTGTCTTTCAAATTGCACAGACTAATTTGTTGAGCTCAGGATTTCTTGTTGGTTGTAGTCCATTTAAACCCAAAGTCAAAAAAGGGCCAGTCCCTTACTTTCTCGACTTGAGCCCTTTTTCCATTGCTCAAAAAAACCCACTAGCATCCACTAATATCTGGCTTTTGTCTTCAATTGGAATGGATAGGATCATTTCCTCCTGGGTCACATGAGTCTGTTTAGACACTGTTTTTTGAACAGCTCTTGCTTCGGTCGGCAGTGATAGAAATGTGACACCTGGGTAAATGCGCTAGTTTCTTTATCTATGTCTTTATTTTGGCAATCTAGAGGTTGGGGCTGCACTCTTTCTGGTGCATTGTTGTGACATAAATTTGAGGGCGTACTTGCATTTTACATCTTGAGAACAACATGCATTCATCTGGTTTACCCGTGTCTAAAAATACTCACCCATACCTGCTAAATTTGGAGTAAAAGAGGTATTAGTCACTAATTTCATAACTTTTTGGTTATTTTATTCCATCAATTAGTAAATCCATCTGCTCATGTTCCATATCCATGATATTTGCAATGTTTCTTTCAACCATTATTCCTCCATTTTTATCTTTCACTTCATTAGTTGAACGTGCTGTTGGAGCTGTTTTTTCTGTCATTGTACTGTCACTTTTCCAAATGCCAATTACCGACTAAGCTGAAAGGTGTTCTGCGTTCTCTCCGCAGGCAGCTGGTCCCGCCGTGGAGAGGCCTGTAGGGATGGACCGAGCCCAAGGCAAACACGCCTTCAGTAGCAGGTCAGTTTGTGTGTTGCTCTTCTACTCAAATCCACTGTGATGTGGATTTTTGTTTCTGCTCATCGTGCTGAATCAGTATGTTTGCAAACTTCAGAAATGGGTTTGATTAAATAATCTCAAAAAGCGGCCATCTGTCCCTGTCCTTCGCACTCTGTGTGTTGCACAATTTTTCATATGCATGTTTGTCTACATTCATGTTTATTGATGTTTATTTGTGTGTTTCTGCCCTACTTTCCCTTCATTAAAGCTCTATTCCAATGCGGATCAAGGCCCTTACAGATATAGTTAGTGTTAAAAAGCTCCATCATTAGCCCACTACAAAAGACTTTCAAAACAGGGTCAGGGTCACACACACACGCGCACACACGCACGCACACAGTCTGAGGGATAAACAGCTACAAACACACTTTCATCTCCTGTTTTTTTATACGGAGATACAAGTTATAACACACATGCATAAACTAATGACTGCTGCTTAATTAAGTGTTGAGGATGCAGAACGCTCAGTGTCTCCCGTGAGCCTTTTCATCGGACATGTTTGTGAGTGTGTTTTCTTATTTTAGCAGTGTGTTTTTCAGAAGGATGTGGGGCCTCTAACACAGAGCAAGGACAGTTGCCATAAATGTAAGAAACATGTAGATAAATTCACGAGTAATCTTTATAAGGAATTTCTCAGGTTAAGATGGTTGTGTGTGCTGCTAAATCCATTAATATTCTTGTTTCCATGTAAGCACAGCATCTTAGCTTTAAGATCCCCTCTACACATTTCTGTTCAGCATCCACATCCTAACCATGACCAATGTCTACATTAACATGACTAATACAAAAGCAAGCCAGTAAATGGGCCGGCAGTGAATCAAAGTGGCTGTTACATCATTGACCGATGTGCTGCTCTGTCTGACAACACTCACCTCTGCTAATGGAGAGTATATCTGTCTGTGTTTGAGAAATATCAGGTCAGTGTGGTCAGTAATTAATTTACTGTTAATTCATAAATACCAAGAGAAAATAATATGTAGTTAACTTGCAATGAAAAGAGAGTTACAGCTTTGTGAAAAGAATAATATTGACCTGTTTTAACCTCTCTCTGCGTAGCAACCACAAAGCACACAAAGCATAGTCTGAGAGAAGGTCATTCACTCATACACACTCATGCTCCTTGTATAATGCAAAGAGGTGCACTCTCCATGCAAGGTGTAGGTTAAAACTGAATTTCTATATTGAAATCGTGACTATTCAGACGTGGTATTAACTTCCATCCTGAGTGATCCTAGCTCAAGTAGTGAGATGTGATCATTCAGATCACGTTTGCAGGTGGTCTGTTTAGCTTATGGCCACATTCTTTTAGCTGTATGAACTTAAATGCTTCCTGGGCCATATGTGAAGGACCGTCTAAACAGCTGATGTCGACTGAACTATTAAAGTTTAAACTACACAGAGCCCTATATGCCATACCCTGATGTGCACCTGCCCAAAAATGTATGTACACGTCAAGGTGGCACAGAATGCAAAAGCTGTGACTGGTCCACTTGTTAGCATCGCTTTTCCGGCAGACTCTTTAACATCTATCAGCTCCAACTCCTACGATCAGCTAAGTAAAACTTGCAATTGTTCTGAAGTAAACATAGATGCCAGAGAATTTGTAGATATGTGGACCGACCCTGTCACCTGAAATAATGATGAGAAGCCAATTGTAATTCAAATAACTGAAGTAGAACATGTGGACGGAAGTGAATCACAGAATAGTGTTTGACAGTTTTACTGTTATCATGCATTACGATAGCTCACACTTTAATGCAATGAGTATAAAGGTCATTATTTTAGACACACGCCCTCACAGTTGTTTTCCACAATAACTTTTTTTACTACACGTCCTCTCATGTACACACACTCAGGCACACACAAACCATGTCAGCTGTGAGTAATGTAAAAGTGATGTAATGGTTTTTGTGGTCGCCAGGGAAACGATCCTTGAAATTGCAAAAAAGTCCAAAATGAGCTGTGGAATGCAGCTATAAATATTGGAACAGTAAAGCATACGTTAAGTAAATGTGTGTGTGTGTGTGTGTGTGTGTGTGTGTGTGTGTGTGTGTGTGTGTGTGTGTGTGTGTTTCTGTGCACAGAGTGGTCTTCTGTGTACTGAATGTGTGTCTTCTAGTGCGGGTGCATGCACCTTTGAGTGTGAAGGTACACCTATGAATACAGTAATGGCTCATCATAATTTTAACCACACAGCACGCTCACCACAAAAACTCATTACCTTTGAATCGAAATGTCCTTTTTATACAGGGAAAGCGATTTACTGAAAATTGGTTAAATGAAATAGCATTGCCAGTGTATTATATTTCTTTGTGAAATGAGGCACTGTATCGGAGGTGTTTTCAAAGCTCGGAGGTGAAAAGGTAAATAGGTTTCACTGGATGCACATAGACAAACTGAAAGTGAAAGGGGTTTCATACGGTTAACAGAGTTTATTTGTGTGTCATTTTGGGACACAGCTTTCAGATTCAGAATTCATGTTGTGAAGATAATGTGATCCTGTTTGTTAATCAGACAGACCTCTCTCTGTTAACCTGTCCTCCTTTTTGTATCTTTCTTTTTGTCCTGAATGTTTCACCACAGTAAAACATTCTCATGGTTAAAAAACCTCCAACAATTTCCACGATCAGAATAAATCCTGTCTTTGTCAGGACTTTTAATTTATCATATAGGGGAGTTCACTTGTATCAGTCGAGCCACGCAACCAAGCTTCTACTGTAGTTGTAGTTACGTTAGCTATGATTGCTGTTGTTTTAGAAAGTGGGCAGATGAGTATCTGGTTCTAGTGGCTCCTAAGAGCCAAATGTAAGTGTGCTGTAAGTGTTCATCACTATCAATTTTAGCTTTTTCATAATTAACATCCACCAAGAAATACTCTCATCCCAACTTCCTGCAGTGTAGAAAAAGAGATGTGGGTTTTGGTGAGACCAATTCAAAAGTACTCAAATAAATCCTACTGCATTTATTCATCATGATATTAACATGTGAAATAAACACTAAAGAAAATCACTAAAGAGTGCCTGAAAGACAAGAGATCCTTTTAGTTACACATGCCATGCATTCACGCAGGGTTTTCAGTACCGTATAGGACATGCATGCAGCGCCTGAGCCAAAGCATCCTGGGTGGACTGCTGAGTCAGTGTTGGTGTCGGTCAGCAACTTCTCCCCATTTGTGAACTACACACAGTGGATGGCCCGAAGTCGGCAGAGGAGACCTGTGTGAAGTGAACATTTTGATCTTGAAGAGTATCAGGAAAGAACTGGATAAAATCAATATATTTGATGGATACACCACGATGAGAGAAAACATTGCATACAAACATTTGACCTATCACATGAAGCCCTGGATGCACAGACCACAGAATCAGATGAAGCCCCTGTTAGCCTTAAACTAGCATGTTGGCATATTGTCATCGCAATATTTGACATTGATGTTCTGGATGTGATATAACATTCTCCTGGCTTTCAAGTCTACAGTAAAAGTCTTTTTTAAAGCTTGAATAAATCAAGATGCTCATGGTGTAAAGTC